CTATGTTGCCATGGCTGGCTTCAAATTCCTGAGCTCAAGCAAACAACCTGAGTAGCTGGGACTACTGGCACAAGCCACCATATGTGGCTGTAGCATGTAACTTTAATAAGAACAACACAAATGGTGAGAAGACAAGCTAATATTTTATTTATATGCTGAAGTAGGCCCTAGGCCTATTGCAAAAGCCTGAAAAAGGTTAAATTACTTACTCAGTTAAACATACTCATATATTATAGAAAGATTTCAACAAGTTGAAACTTCACTACAGAGACAACCATTGCTATCAATTCTTATAAAGTATTCCAAAGATGCTCTGTGCATATAAAAGCATACAGATAGAATAGTATAAAATCTCTTATCTAAGGTAAACAAGACTGACAAAAGTGGAATAATAATAATATATATCAATATTTTATTTGAATTTGTGTGTGTGTGTGTGTGTGTGTGTGTAGTAATTTGCCAAATGTTTGTATTTAGAACATCACAGCTACAAGAATTAAGTATAAAACACTCAGAAGAATTTCTAGCACATGGTATATTATGCTTTTGTGTTTGCCTTTATGATCAGAGCCAAATTCTTTGCAGTATTATTAGTTCTTGCTTATTATTCTTTAAAAACAGACTTTGAGTATCTTTATTTGAAGTTATGCTTTACTCTAAACTTGTCATGTTTCATTTATCTTAAAATTCAAAGACCAACAAGTCATCTTTCAGAAATCATGATCAAAACTCCAATTAGAAGGGCTAGGGTTACTACTTGGCTCAGTGGTAGAGTGCTTGCCTAGGACATGTGAGGCGCTGGGTTTGATCCTCAGCACCACTTATAAATAAATAAATAGATAAATAAAATAAAGGTATTGTGTCCTTCTACAACTAAAATTTTAAAAAAGATAACTCCAATTAGGAAAGGTTTTAAAAAAAGAGTAGCAGCCATCAAGGTAGAAAGGAATGATGGTAGGATGCTCTACTTATATATCAGCTAATCCCTATACCTTCCTGAAGAAGAAAGTATTATTCCTTATTTGGATGAGGAGATAGATTTTACAGGACAGAATTGCCTCAGGTCTCATAGCTAATACATGACCAATGGGACTCAAGCCCATGTGCACTTTCACTGTACCAGACTTCCTTTAAGGCCGCCACCATTCAATGACTGCTGCTCTAAAGGACCATTTAAAGAGGTCTATCTTCATTAAGGTCT